CTACATCAGATTCAAGCAAGTTGTGCCGCTTTTGTACGTTCATAACACCGTTTGGATCACGACCGACATCCTCAGAGGCTGTCTGATCTTCAACAGCATTCAACCATAACTCGACATCTTCTATGTTGCGAGCGAACTGTTGTTGCCTACTTGCTTGATCTAAATTTTTCTTCTTGTCTCCCATGGCATTTACGAGATGAGACCAAGTTTCATCCAACTGTTCAATCTTTACTTTTATTTCTGGCGAGTTGTAGTGGTTTGCATTTAACAAATCCTGACCTGTCTTTTTAATATCTTCAAAGCGGGATTGGTTCGCTTGTATTTCTGCCTCAAAACTCTGATGCTTCTGCACCGTTGTTTGCAAATTCGTGGAGTCTTTGTAACTTTCATCAAGTGCATTTCTAAGTTTTCCTGATATCCATGACTGCATTTCATCTGCATCTCTATCGAACATTTGGTAACGGTGGGAATCTTGAAGACGCTGACGGCGGTTCTGAGCTTTCTCCTTTAATGCATTTCGTCTGCTTTGAAGACCTTCCTGAATCTCATGAACCTGTGCAGCGGCAGAGTGGTTTGATTCGATTAATTTTGCAGCGATTTCATCAAGTTGTCGCATCTTTTCTTCTTGTGCTAAAAGTGACTTTTCGAAGTCTTCATGTTTCCTTATGAGTGCTCCCACAAAATCGAGTGAGTCTCCCACATCTTTTATTTCTAAGAGGGCCTCTTGCTTACCAATCCAAGATTCCGACTGTTCAGCGTCGCGGTAAAAATACTGAAGGCTCATACACTGTTCTAGCTGTTCGCGTCTTTCCTCACACAACCGCATCAGGGAGGCTCTCTCTCCTTCAAGGGTGGAAAGTTTAGCAGCTATGTCTTCACTACAGGGATGGCCAACCCTTAGTAATGCCTGACCTTCTTGCATGCATGCATGCATCGAAACTGTCAGCTCGAGAATTTATCTCAGAGGTGTGTTCCTTATGTCGTTCTACTTGGGCTTCAGCACCAGCTACATCCTTTGCCAAATCATCCGCCGACATTAACATCTTCATGTCATTCATCCAGATACTCAAGTCTCTCCAGTCAGCCAAAAAGCGATGCATCTTGAATGACTCTTCCAGTTTACCTCTCCTACCTACAGCCTTACTTTTCAGCTTATCCCATGCAGTAATTAAGGCGTCATACTTGCCTTGTATAGTGTCTTGCGAATCAGGATGCTTCTGTGCAAGCGCCTCAGCATCATCTCCAAGTTGAACAATCTTTTCATCTGGGGCAGTCAAATCCCTTTCTAATGCTTCATGCTTCCTTTGTAAGGCTTGGACTGAAGCAAGATCACGCCCACAGTCCTCAATTTTCTCTGTGGCTAAGACATGATTGACCATGTTAGTTTCTTCAAGGGTCTTCCTGTATGGTCCCAGTAATGTCCAACCCAAGGGAGTCTTTACGGCACAAGGTTCGTTAGCTCCTTCAAGCCTTTTATCGATAGTTACGTGAGCTTCTGGCACGTTACAGCCAATAAGCATCTTAATTTCTTTATTCTTAACCTCTGGTAAAACTATCCCATCTAGGTGACCCCATGAAGCCATCTGATCTGCTGTTAGCATAACTCTTTGTAACTGTGGCAACTTCTCTACTGTCCATGCTTTGGAAACAGTAACATGACGTGACGAATCCACCGGAGAGACTTCCAGTTGCACTTGTTTGCAAGACAAAGTAGACTGTGAACCAAGCGTCTTAAGGGAGACTGTCTTAGTTGCTCCTACCAAACCTAGTTCTCTTGCCGGATCTTCTGTGACTAATGTTGCGTCTGAACCACTATCCACAAACGCACAGGTTTGAACGACATTACCATTATATCTGGCTAAGATGGGCACTATAGCGAATGCGGTTTCACTTGCCGGAGTCTTGTCCAAAGTCATATCACTACACTGTTGAGCGTTAATATGCACATCATTTTTTATATCGTCGGATGGTCCTTGGCTTCTGTGAAGCAATGTATGGTGTCTCCAACCACAACCTTCAACTGTACAGGACCTTGGAGATCGGCAGTTCTTTGCTATGTGATTTGCTTTTAAACATACGTTGCATAGTTTTCTCTTGGAAACAAATGCCAGACGTTTATCAAGGTCTTTATCTTTAAACTCTAAACACTGGCCTAGGAAATGGCCTCCCGAACACAATATACAGGGTGGGATAAATAAACGTGACTCGTTCTTAGGATCATTACTCGGCTTTTCGACATTATTCTCTGAAAGCCTAGTAACAAACACTCGGTGTTTAGAATCAGAGTTTTTCTTCCTTACTATTTTTTCCCGTGGAATGCCCATTGATTAGCAGCCCATACCTGGTGTTAGCCATATCTGACTGCTCCTTAACAAACATGCATAAGTCGCTAAATGATGGTTCGCGACCGCTCTTTATGACGTTGCAAGCCACCTTTATCCATTCTCTCTGTGAATGAACAGGGAGTTTTAGGACTGGTTGTTCAATAGTTTTACCAGAATTCAAATCTGAAACATAGTTCATCTGTTTTAAAGTAAATTCGCAGGCCTGCATCTCGTGAGATAGCTTCCTTAGTAATGCCGCATCATAGCTTTTAACATTTGGAAATTCTAGGAGTTTCTCTATGAAGGTTTGGGCCACAACATGCCTTTGCCTAAATGCTTCCTCTAACAGTTGTAGGGCTTTATGATAACCTTCCTCTGGCTCTAACAAAACACAGTGTTTGATTACATCTTTGGCTTCTCCTTCACAATACTGAATCAAGTAATTTAGCTTACTTCGAAATCCAATGGCATCATTATACACCGAGTCTTCAAAATTCTTTATAAAATTCCAATAATTTACAGGATTACCGTCAAACTTAATTATCTTTCTTTTAGGCATGTCCAGAAACTTGGACATGGCTCTGGCGAGCTCATCGTTAGAAGATACAGCGACTGTATGCGAGGTAGAAGGCTTGCAAAGTGACTTATTATGATTAGAACATTCACGACTAGCTTGTCGTAATCTTTCCAATTCAATTTCTTTGTCTATTTGGACTATACGCATTTTCGCTAGCTACAGCTCTACCATATAATGTGATTTATTCTCGTTGCTTCCAGGGAAATCAGCTTCATTACTCTTTTCTAATTGTGGAGTTAACGACGGCATAATTTCATAACTTTCGTCTGCCATACTGTTCGAAACTTTGTAGGATTATTTTTGTCCTACAGATTTAGTCCTTCCTCAATACTGACGACACAGAGTCTCAGTCTAGCTATAGTTAAAACAGAATGACTTGACTTAAACTTTATCTGTTTCTAAAACATAAGATAAATCAAACAATTACACTAAGAAAATATACAAATCTACTGTCATTCAAAAAGGGACAAAAACGTACCGAACAGTATTGAGAGAACGAACAAGATGAACAGTTAATTACTAACATGTACACATATAGACTGACTGAAAACAAAGGACATTCAAGGTCACATCACGTGGTGTAAGTTACATTAATTGACCAATAATCGCGACAAAAGGTCACATAATATTAATTGGCTGTTTATCATACTGTCTATCTATCTGTCGCGATTAACAATGCACTAAAACATTTTGTTCATCCTGAGAAGAAAGGGAAGGAAACTTAAAGTGATCTTTACATAAAGCAAACAATTGACAACATGATGGATGGCTATGCAAAATGATTTCATCCGTCAAGATTCCATAGGAAAACGTTAGCTATCCGGATGAGAAACTGTTAATTGAGTTGATTAGACACCGTCGGTAACGCTTTCGAGAATTATTGCTGTTCTTAGAAGCTAATGATAAAACAGGTCACAGTTAGTTAATATGAATACACTGAAAAAAGCCGGGGTTCGATCTTCGGCTGACACACTCCTTTACCTCGCTAAGCCAGTAATCAGGCTGGTAAAGAGGAATGGTTGGGCGGGAATGAGGCTAGCAACCCCATTCTGTAAAAATAAACACTGTTACGGAGGCTTCAGTTCTCTAGTTTGAAGCCCCATGTTTCACTGGTAACGGGAAGGAATAAAACATATGCATCAACAGTGAGTGACATCACACTCCAAGAAGACAGTCAGTTAGAACCAAAACAAGAATGGATCAGCATAGAGCCTAGTCATGGGGAGATGAAAGATTTTGGGAAGTTTTTAGGCAGTGTCGATTTGATGGCAGGGAACAAAAAACAATAGTGACGTTCTAGTGAATTCCAGCATTCCTCTCGGAACCCATGTGAATAAAGATAACGACTTTGGATTAACTGTAAGGTCGACCCCGTAGATAAGTTCAGTTAACTGGTGGTATTTACGTTACAAGAATTCAAACTCCTTGTAGAACGACCAACCAACTTATTGAAAAACCCAAAACTGAAATACAGACACTGTCACGTAATTGCACAGAAGAGTAAGACAAGCCCACAGTAGTGAGGTGAGTTGGATTGACAGTTTTTTCACTGAACCTTTGCTATCACAACACCAGCAATAAGAATGACGAAACACAGATGCCAAGTATATCGAATATATTATTAGATTAGAAATGACAAAACTATTATAACTAAGTCTGAAAGTTGCCTGAACTACTCGATGTAATCATGAACAGCATACTGTGTCCAGAACGTCACCATTAACTAAATGACACTGCACTAGTGAGTGCTTCATCAATTAAGGGTTTTTATTTGAAAGCGCTTTCCGAATTCCTCCTTTTAACTTATACGACAGATTTCCCTTTATTCTTAGCATATTAATTCCGCCCTCTATATCAAAATTATTTACCTTATCAAGGAGTCTGTGGGGAGAGTAGACTTTCTGAATTACTCTGTGACGTTTTAAGGTCAAAATATTCTGTTTCAAAAATACGTAGACAGTGCTTCAGTTATTTGACTGTCATATGGTATTCGCTTATTATGACTAAAATATATGACGAAATGTTCGGTATAATCCGTTTTCACCGATCTTGTCAACTATGTTCATTCAAAATTCAATTTTTTTTTCTGCACTCATTCACCGGAAGTCATTTGGCGCAGCCGTTGTTAGTGACGCTTTCGTGTCTTTCAAGTAGAACAATGGCTTAGTTTGTTGTTGGGATTTACTTCATTTTAGGTACGTTGATAAGTATATTGCAGTAATGTCTTATGAGCACTCGTCTTTGAATGGATTTAGCCCTCATGACTTATTTTTTCGAAAATGATGTGTATATTCCACCACCAAATGTGAATGTTTTTGTATAGATAAAGTGCATGCATATACTCTCTACTCTTATTCCATTATCTGCAATTCAGGCACGTAAAATCGAAATATGACCGTTAAAAACAATATTGATTGTGAAGACAATGAGATTTTGCAAGATACTTGGGCTACAAAACACTCCGGTGATGTACCAACTAATGACTTGGTGTCATTGTCATGGCTTCAGAAAGATGATATTTTGCAGATAACTCCTTTGGATGAGGAGGAGGAAAATGGCAGTGATTCTTTAAATTCCACTGCGATCAAAAGTCAAGATAGTGAAGACACCAATCGCAATTCAGGATTACCCGTCGAATCTCAGGAATCCTACTACTCGTCTCCACCAGTGTCTGAACCACCCCTCTCTATTTTCGGTAGAAGCATTCGTCGTCCTGCATCAGTATCAGGAGAACAGTTTTATGGAGAAACTACACGGTATCGAGGCAATCCGTCACTTACTGTCACTGGCAAAGGACTTGATAAACCAAACTACAGTTATACTCACCTTATATTTATGGCAATCGAATCGACACCACAAAAGTGTATGACTGTCAATCAAATATATAACTGGTGTGAATCGAACTTCCCGTTCTACAAGCATGCTGGTGCTGGTTGGAAGAATTCTTTAAGGCATAATTTATCTATCAACAAGTCTTTCAAACGGTTACCTCGTGATAGTCGTGTAAGTTATTATCTTTCATTTTGCATTTATTTTCTGCATATAAATACAATGTCTATCTACAAATATGTTTTCTTCCCTTATGCAGAATGAACCTAATGCCATTGTGAAATGTAGCTTCGATGTACTGTGCTCTCAAAGACAGGAGCATGAAGACCTTGATGATGACGAGGTGATAGATTGTCATATGCACCTCAAACGCACTTCTGTGTCACTGCTATCTTTAAGTGCACCATTGTCTCATATTGTTGTACTGTAATTGTCAAATAATTCTGTGTAAGCTTGTTGTTGTGTCTCCATGTTACTCATTGTTTCTATCTCATTGCTTAATAGTGTTACTGTTTAACAACTTTTCATAATTAGGGCCCAGGTCGAGGTGCTTTCTGGACAGTTGAGCCTCGTGAGAGAGCTACCTTATTGGATGCCATCAAACGAACCCCATGGAACAACAATAACACATCTGTAGCTGGGGGTCAATCACTTAATGATAGTGGCAGTACAAATTCTGTCAATGCATTTCCAGTCGGACGGTTTGGTCTTGCACGAAGCGCTCCCAGTCAGCTTTTGCGTGCTGAGGGTTTAGGGAGTGATCAGTTTGGATCTATGGTTGGAGAATCTGCACCTCAAATTCGGCTGTTGTACACTAGTGATGGCAATGTTGTGGCTACATACGATAGTTCATTCATTGACCCGTCAAATTCTGGACCTGATAGTACAACAGATGTTAAAGCAATGGTATCTGATTCAACTTTCTCGGATCATAGATACTGGTCCTCACCATCTGACGAGGCAACTAGTATTGATAGTGCTTCAGCTGAAGTTGAATGGCCAGCCGAAGAAGAAGAGAAGTACTTAAACATTCTACGTCTGTTGAATGAAACTGAAGCGACCAACAATGCTAAACTGAATTCACCTACTGCAGATCAACCAGGTGGAGATGGTTTTCTGTAAGTTGTATTTCTAATTTTGGTTGAATGACTAGAATTAGGCGATTGTTATTCTGTGGTTTTCGTAGTACTCATTGTATTAAGGCAATAGCTTAAATGCTTACAGATAATACTGTCATACTACAACCGTTTATAATTCGTCTTGGTACGTGTTTGTATTGTCTGGATTACATCATTTACACCACAATGCTTTATTTCTTGGCGTGAAGGTTACTTTAAATTTAGATTGTCAAAAGGTGTTAGGATATCATCTAATTGTTATTGGAGTATTCAGATGGTATACTATAATAGTCAGAATCTAGTCGGTAGTACTTATTTGCCGGGGTGATTGGTTAACTCTAACTTCAGAAAAAAGATTTGTAAAATAAGGCAAGTCGGTTTACATTGCATGAACCAAAACTCTAAGACATCACGCTCCCAGGACACCCTGATGGGAAATTGACTTCTGGACAAGTGCTTTTCACCTATCAGTCTTAAGATACTGCGTTAGAACTAATTTTGTCCCAAATTATCTGCATATAGTACCTGAATGTGTAAATGTTGATCACGTGTGATGGTTTTATGGGATCTTAGACGTAGAGCAGTGTTCATTTATACACTTCCTGTATTTCGTAGATTAATATCTCACGGTATGCGGTTAACACTTAAATTAATAGGGTCAAAAGTAGTATGCTATTTTTAAATTCGTAAACATGGAATATATTGATCGAAAAAAGATAGGGGAAGTTTGTCTGGGTAACTAAGTAAAACTTTGAAGAGAGTTAGTATCCTCTGTTATTGGAAAGATTTGTTATCTTTGTTCGTAATATTAACTTCATATCAGATGATGTCGTTTTCTTTAGACAGTCATCTTATTTGCTTCTTTCGTCTAATATTTGTATTCTGTTTAGATGACCACTAAAGCTTGTTTGTTTTGTATTTCTCTAGGTCTAATGAAGTAAAACGTGATGCTTGGGAAAGTAAGCTTAAATTTCAGTTTTGTAATGTATTATTTAGCTTTATTACTCTGTCAAAAGTGTAGACTTAATGACGTTTTGAAAACTGTTGTCATTGGAAAAAAAGTATCTGGATGCAAAATAATATTAGGGTCGTGGTGGTGGTGGTGGTGGGGTTTCGCTTTGTATGGTATAGCCAATTTACAACAACTCACAATAATTGAATTCGTTTGACTTGCAATCATTCATAAGCAGTTGCAAACCGGATTCTGTTTTTTTTAAAGGTAATTTTAATCGTAGGTAGTTTCTCTTACCTCCCTCAGCAACATCAGGAGGAATCGTTGTCAGATCATATGGAGATTTCTCATATTTCGTAGGGATATTTTTCCAAAGTTAGAGCAGTCAATACCAATGTGAGCTACTTCCAGTTTACACAGTCTTCCGAATAGGCTTCCTTCCTTCACGTTCCGAGTGGAACATAGGGCTTCAAGATAGAGCTATGAAGTTTCAGTAGCAGTGGGTTTTGCTAACGGAGTGGGGTTGCTAGCCTCACGTCCAATCTCCCCTCTCTACCGGCCTTACTTACCGGCTTCGCAAGGGTTAAAGAGTGCGTCGGGCGACATCACCTCCCTCGACTGGCAATGTTGGCTGACATAGGGTCAGGCTGGAAAAGAGTTAGCCAGTGGTGGTCAAACCAAAACATGGCTTCATCAGTCAATCAAATCCACAACAGTCTGTTCAAGCCAGTCACGTAAGGAGGTATAGACTTCCTGACTGGTTGGGGTCCTCGAGACTGTACAAACCAATGAAGGCTAGATACAATCGGTGATATGGCTCATAATTATCGTTCTGGCGCAGTTAGATGCATCCACTCCTTGTGATTGATAATATCCAATAAACTCTATGGTCCTTCGATGTTACTATTCTTTTTTCCTCATATCCCTGTTCACTGCCGCTATTATACATTTCTTCTGCTTTCTCCTCTTGTTTTGTATGCTATACATGGAGGGAGTGTGGCAACTCGAACTGCTACACATTGGTGCAAAGTTCTCTGTTGAAACCAGTCAGTCAGTCGAGCGAGGATCGAACCTTGGACCACGTTTGCGGTTGGCGAGCGTTCTATGACTGAATCACCTACGCTGGATGGGGACTTCATCTTAATTTTTTCCTCAGTGTGTTTTTCGCAAAGAGTGTTAGTGTTGCAGTCGCTCAGTCTGTATTATTTTTCTCGCGTTTATTCTTCTTTATCATAATGTCATGCCTGGATGATACATTTTCTGGATGTCTTTTGATTGAGTTTCACTTTAAACAATGTTTTAGCACAATAATGTGATATTAGACTGCAGTCAGTGAGATTTTGTTTGACAGAAAACAAATACTTTTTCGTAACAAGATCGTAAAACATTCGTTCAAGTGATTATTACTCAAATAGGTTATTTCGATCTCCAAGGTTTGAATCTCTGTGTTGGTAGCGAACGTCTACTGTACATCGGCCGAAACTAAAACAACTTGGCGGTTTTATGCACAAAAACTGATGTTACAGAACACAATATTTGTCATAATAGTTGGGATAATTTGAAAAATAGTATGACCAAATTATACTTGGGTTTCTGTGTTTCTGTTATTGTTTTGTTTTGTAAGCATCTTAAGCAATACTTCTATTGTAAACAAATCTTATTCTATTACTGTAGAAATGATCGGGACACACATTTTAGAGGATCCGAAACTGGTCACAAAGCAAAGGAGGAAATCACGCTTATTACCAACACGCATAAGTAAGTCTTTACCTTTTAAATTATATGAAATGTATCGATCTGTTTCTAGTCTATGTCTGTGTAGTATTTCTCTTGGTTATCACAGTGACTCAGTAGTAGTAGTTGTTGTTGTTGTGCCTCATTGGTTATCGTTCTCTAATATAATCCAATGGTTTGCTTGTTCCAACCGTACTCCATCCACAACATTTGTGGCGGCAGCCAGTCAGTATCATAGCTTTTACATTGTGTTGCTTTATTGGTATGCGCATATAAGTGCAAGTGACGCGATCAACGTACATACTGGCATACATGCAGTAAAAGATGCTTATGAAATGCTTACTTGTCGTATACAAAAGCCATTTTACGGGTTAACCCAAGGAGCGATAATATTCGATGGATGACTCTGGAAGGAGGAATTTGAAGGATGAAGACTTGAATACAGGTCATGGCAAATAAACTTGAAAAATTTCACCTCAAGCATTAACATGTCTGCATCTATGATCAACTTGACTCTTAAACTTCTGAATAGTCTGCTTTCTACATGCCTTCCTTTAAACTCAGGCTTTTATGCATCCTTCTTCTAGACATCATCCAATTCACCCATATATTGCATAGTAGACAGACTTTACCTGGCTCCTCAAGATAGTTCTCAGCATGACGATTCTTGTCAATCTAGGCTTCTGATTTTCTGAATTTAGACTTCTGTCAGAAGTGTTCTAGTTTCTTTGCCGTTAAATAATGCAGGTCTATTCATTGGACAGTAAATTATGGTCAGTAATGGCAAAAGAATAAAGTTTCACAATAAAGCCACTTAATGCATTCAGCATTTTCTGATGGTCATACAGTACGTTCTCTCATACCTTCTTAGTGAATTAGTGTTCCCGTCCTTTTTATCGCTGTCTGTCATTGTACATATCTCTCTAAAGAATCTTCGTCTCAAACTGAATAACTGACGAAGAAATTCGCACAACAGTGCCTCTTTTCAGTTGTCACACTTTGAAAAAGCACGCCTTTTGGTGTCTTCACAAATAGCTTGGTTTTATCTAGACAAAACTTTCATTGGACACTAGCGTGTATCGTGTGTTTAGTCCTTTGTTTGATACACACTGAATTCTATCAGTCAAGTTTGCAATCTGACCAACATTCTAGGTGGCTCGCCATCACGGTGCACTTTAAATTGTTGATATTAGATAGGTGGAGGCAATCGACAGGAAGCCTTGGACCTCGGTTTCAACAATTCAAAGTGCAACGTGATGGTGAGCCACCTAGCATGGTGGCCACATTGCAGATTTGACTGAGAGAATTCAGTCTGCACCAACGAAAGGACTATTCACACGCATTACACTTGTTACTAACTAGTGTCCAGTCAAAGTCTCTAGTACAGTCCTACAGGAGGTAACGTTTCTGACTGCAGGCAGCACTGGGTGACGCGAGTATGAATCACAGAAGGGGCATGTGTTCCTTCAAGATTACAGATACGCCTTGCTGATTGGTGAGTACCAACTAGCACGAAGCATAAGTCAAGCTGAAGGCTTCCTGTCAACTGTTTCTCTAACCATCGAATGTAAAATGACATCATCGGAAGCTAAGAATCTGTAATTGTTCCACGTTTAGATTACAAGTTTTTAAACTATAGTTGTGTGATAGATTTCAAAGCAATTTCTTGCTGCTTTTTAAAATCCTTTTTGATTTGATAAGTCGCGCATAACCAGAATGAAGAGGGGGGAATAACAGTTGCTTCTCACTTTAAGGTCATTTCATAATAATTTTGCTGTAGTTGTGTGACATAAGCACCACCTTTCCATATGATTATATTCACAATTCATAGTTTGTTTTCATTCATTTGAGTGACTACCTTTATTAAGTAAAAGGTGGTGAGTAGTTCTACTATTCATCCTACTGCTGATTGTTCCATTATGGGATGAAAAATTAGCTAAATGACATTCAACTAGAGAATGATGGAACAGTGGTTAGTTTTGATATATATATATATATATATATATATATATATATATAACTAGTCCTTAATCTAATATACCAATCAATATGGCAGCCTTAGAAGCAGTTAAAAAAAGAGCTTACTGCAGATCCTGAACTTACTCCTAGGACAAAGCTGCCCATTGAGGAAATTATTTTAGGAATTCAGCTATGCCTCAATCTACTATCTTTAAATTCCACGGTAAAATATTTAAACAAGCAGAAGGTAAAGCAATGGGATCACCAATATCCCCTATAGTAGCAGACATATTTATGGACAGCTGGGAAAATACTACTCTGAATACATTTAATCCTACTCCGAAAATATGGTGGAGATATGTGGATGACACTTTCACGCACAGTGTTGAAAACAGAACATATCTCTGGCTTCTTAACGCATATAAACTCGTTAGTACAGAAAATAAAATTCACATTTGAAGCCGAAAATGAGCAAGAAGAATTAGCTATGTTAGATTTTAAAATCAAACGAACAGAAGGTAAACTACACACTAGTGTTAATAGAACACCAACGCATTCTAATAGATATTTAGACTTTAATTCATTTCATCCGTTAACTGTTAAGGTAGGCTTAGTTAAGTGTCTAACAAACCGAGCCATAGCACTAAGTAGCACAAAAAAGACCTAAACGATGAATAACTGGTTGGTGTTAAATAACGAAATATCCTATAAAATTCATTAGGAAGATCAAAAAAAGGCCAAAAGCAAAATAAAAATAATGAGGAAACTAATAATGATAACATAAATAAGAGAGAATATACGACATCTAAAATTATACCATATAAGGAGGGGACATCTGAGACCCTACGTAGGATTCTCAATAAGGTAGGAGTTAGGGTGGTGGCATTCAAACCTACAAACTCACTCAGATGGGACAAGCTCTGTAGACAGGTTAAAGGACCCAGTCGGTTGACCCATTTAGATAAAATAATATAATTTACAAAATACCCTGCAATGACTGTGAGAGGGTCAACTACATAGGTCAAACTACTGGGTTGGGGGTAGTCAGATTGTCGGAACATAAGAATGTAGCTGAGGTAAGAATAGTTGACCCCACCCGAGAAGATAAGTAATTTAGAAAAAAGCTCAACGATTGCACTGCATACATTAACACAACCACACAATAGTGAGGGAGAGGGTTAAAATTCAAAAAAGTAATATAGGTAGGTGAACAGGGAGAGAGAGATTGATTACTGAATCCTGGTTCATCGAGTCTACACCCAACACATGCAATAGGAATGATTCATTACTCATACCATAAGTATGGAAAATCAAATCAACCTATGGAAAATGATGGAATTATATAAACGAAGTTAGCAAGTTGTCTGAGTGAGTGCCTTGATGTGATTATGAGCAGCAATGATAAATTGTTCTCGAAATGTGGTCATCAGTAGTAAATATTATTGCATAACACTGTGAGACTTTATCAATTTTACGCATAATGGAATTACACTCTGCTACCACAGTGCACAAGTTTTATTCTTATATCTACTGCTGATTGACTGTGCAGTATCAATTTGTAAATCAACTCACACGAGTAATTTTTTTCTCGTGTTTGCTAAATTCACCAGACCATAAAGTGTGTGTGGGATCACTACCTTGATCCAGATGGTTGTTGTTGTTCTCGTCATCGATTCGTCGTCGTTGTACTAGTAGTTCCTAGTGTGTTGTACTGACTACATTTTCCTCATCAATTGTATATTTCAAATGAACTGTCGTCAAGATTTGACAGAGTAGCTGTAAAATATTTGGGCGTGTTTTCACTCTCTGTTGTCTGCAACAGAATAATGCATATCCTAAATCCGTAGCTGTCGAGTCACCTGACAACTCTCCAGTAGATCGAATAAGAAGATAAAACAATAAGTTCCACAGGGTGTATTTCAACTAAACTCTAATTCTAAACACCATAATTTTGAAAATACGTCTAACCATAAAATTCTAGATACTAACAGTTTGAATAGACATGAAGGTGTTATCTTGTTAGCTGATGCATAGCAAATCCTGATTAATAAATAAAAAGTGGATATGTATCACTAATTATTAATACTTGGTCAAAATTCCCGATCGTCTATATCTTATTATGGAGAGGTTAACAAATGTTTTACAACTGTTTACCCACACACACATACACACTCTGTTTAAAGTGTTTAAATAAGGTAGACCACTATTTGTAAGTCCGGGGTCAAATTTTGATCACAGCTCATACAATTTTGTTTATTATACATGTTGATACCTGTTTCATGTCTCATATGATTGGACAAAGTTTTTGAAAACAAGAGATGTTCCTCTTGTATATATAAACCTCTGTTATGCTAATTTCAGTTAATTTCCCTGAAGAAGTTCGGACCAGATTGCCGAATGTAGGGAAACGTTGGAATTAATCATATCAATCTCACTGAGATTTTACACAGATATAATTTTTTACAAATTGTCTATTTCATCTAATTGATTTCTCTAGATAAGTGTAATGAATGCAAAGAAAATGTAAATGGCTGTGAATCATGTCTTGCTAAACGCTCTGAAGTTCTCAATAGTAATTATGTTCGTACCACTCTAAAAGAATATGATCTTGATATCAGCAATATGTTGGACTGTGATCAAGAACCTGGTCCTGCTGGTGGACCACTCACGAGAAATTCAAATACCAAGATGTTGAAACCACCTCCCTCTCCAACTGCTGCAAAGACTGATGATGATGATTTGAGTGATAAAAAAAATCCACTGAAATCTGAAGAAGAGGTTTATTCATCGAATGAAGTCTACGTTACTCCATCACCGTATATCGATCATGAATATTCGCACTGTCAGGCACAGCTTCGTCGACCTGAAGAAAATCAGCTAGTCAATAAATATAATGACAATTATTTCTCTGAAAGACTTACAGAGTTGATGAGTCTTTATCCTCTTGTCAAAGCTTTCGTAGATACTATAGTCAATGATATGAATGTTGACTATGAAACCGATGGATTTGATGACGGTTTCAGTTCATCGGAGCAAGATATGTACAGTGAGGATTATGATAATGAAAATCAACAAATAATAAGCAAAGATTCTAGCAGTCATGAACAACAATGTGATTGTGACTACATTTCTGCTAAACGAAGCAGCAGCTATCGTCGTCAAAGTTGTTTACAAACCTCAGATTTCAATGTTCGTCAACGACGTCCAAAAATTGCCTCACGTGGCAGCATTAGACGACGCAGAGGTGGTGGTGGTGTTGGTGGTGCTGGTGCCAGGGCAATGAAATTGTCTGCCTCTCTTAATAGCAATCCTACTCGACGATCGAAACGAGTGATTAAAGCTCCTCGTCGTCCGTATGATGACTTTGAAAATGTTGACTATTACGATTATGAGTTAGACAATGATGAATCGGATAGAATTGTGGAAAAAGAAGAAGAAGAAGAAGAGGAGGATCCACGGACTTCTGACGTTGAATCGGAAAATGAGAATCAAGCTAATCACACTGAAAATCATAAATATCGAAAAAATTTCTTCCTATCCAAATCATTAAAGCGTCCCTACCAGGCAATTATTGACTCACATTCTAATTCAGATAACTGTGATCGATATCTGTCGCCTAGTATTGATGCTGACTACGAGAGTTCAGATGATAATGAAGAAGACAATTATCATCGGTACAATGATTCTGCAATACACCTGAGTCAAATAAAAAATCGTAAATCATCCTATGAAATAAATAATGTATGGACTTCTGTGATGAAGTGTTCAGTGAGCAGGCGAAAAATTCATGAATCTATAGCCTCAGAAGACTGCCAACAGACTTTCCTTGAACATGATCGAACAAAAGAAGAAGATTTAGACAATAGTATTGTGAAGTACGAAGAAGAAGTGGTTGAAGAACCAATGGAACAAGAACAACGCAGGTTAGTTGTATTTTTTTTAAGAATATATTTTTCATTTTTATTTATTCATTCTCCAATGTTTCTGGAAAAATAAGTTTGTTTACTATGCAAAAAGGAAGGATGTATTGCTTTTTCTTAGAAAAAAGATTAATATTTACTCAACCACAAGCTCAATTTAATAGTGACAACACAGTGTGTGGAAGAATTAAAGGAGGGCGTGTAGACACTAATTTTAGATAGGCATTCGCATTAGACACATTATTCAGGAAAGCCTCTATCACCTGCCATTCATTTTGATGGTCAGGGGTCTAATAATGACTTTAGCCCCACTATTATTATTAGTAGTATTAATTCCTTTATGTTGCCAGCGGAACACAGAGCTTCAAGCTCTTTACCTGTCTTATTACTACCTTAGCGAGGTCTGGGAGTACGTCGGTGGCCGGGTATTGAGCCCCAAACCAAGTGAGCGTGTGCCTCCGACGCATTCCTTCAGCCCCACAGTCATGTTTTTTGTTGATGGAATCATCCAATGATGATTCATTAACCCTACCCCACCCCACCCCACCCCACCATATATCCTTATTTACAAAACTTGGTTTCAATTACTCCCAAGCAGATTTTAGAATATTGAAGAACGGACGACAGTAGTAACTAACATTTGTGCAACAGTTCCAAAGCACTTATTTCATTCCACGAGAAAAGACACCACTTAGCGTTAGATTTTTATTTTCTAAAATTACGGCACTAGACGTCAATTTCGTATACTGTGCAATGTTAGCTGATATAGGGCCAGGTTGAAAAAGAGCTAGTGGCGATCAAACGAAAACATGGCACCAGTCAATGAAATCCACAACAGTTAGCCTAAGCCACGTAGGAAGGTGTAGACTGTCTGACTGGTTGGGGTCCTCGGGACGGTAAAACCCAATGGTTGGAAACAATTGGTGACATGGCTCAAAATCGTTCTCAGTGACTGGCGCAGATGCATCCACTCATTGTGACTTATGATTTCCAATGAAACTGTCTTGTTCTTCGTTATTACTATTCCTTTGTCTCACACCTCTGTTTACTGTCTATATTATGCATTTCTCCTACTTTCTTCTCTTGCTTTGTGTGCTACAAGGAGGGAGTGTGGTGACTTGAACTGCCGCACATATGTGCAAAGTTCTATGTCGAAAACCGACCGACCGATACTGTGCATAAATCAGGTGATGAGACATCTGTGACTGGCTGAGTTTCAACACAGAAGTGCAGCAGTTCAAATTGCCACACACACGCACACACCACGTAGTATACATAGGTAGACAAACGAGGGGAAAATAAGGACTTAAAACTATAATCAGCACAAATGTGAAGGAGGAGGAAGAATAGTAGCACAAAAAAAAAACAGGGTTCAATGGATATAGAAAATCACCAAGAGTGAATGCATGTGCTTGTTTGAAAACAATTTTGAGCCATATTTCCAATCGTCTGCAGCCAATAGTTCTTAGTTTCCCGAGGACCCCCCGACCTCACTAACTGGCTCCAACTAACTGTCAAAGTCTCCTCATGGATTGATGTCAGGTTTTGGTTTAACCACGTCTAATCCTTTTCCAACCTAATCCAAAGTCTGCCAACCTCATCTGTCGAGGAAGGCGATGGTTCGGGATGTATAGTATGTGTTCTAACCGTCTCAATCGGTTCACCTTCACAATTTCATCGATTTACTTGCCCTCCATGCCTAACATTAACATTGCCCACTACATAATGCTATTTAACACAAGAGATAAAGCGGGAACATATGTGTTCGAAAACTACTAGCCTTTTCATATATTCCACTTTCAATGGTCATTTCTCAGTTAGACATCTCGTTTGCCACACAATCATCTGCACAAACAACCATCCAAATACGCAAACCTATAGCAGTGGCTGCAAGCACTAAATGCATCCAATCTCTCATGTTAGTTATAACATCGTATAGACATTGATTGTCAGCTGATAAATTAAGATCACTATGACCTACATGGTAAAAGAGAACATTATTGACTAAATTAAGAGCATGTGACCTTCCTTTGAATTCAGTTTTAGAATGTCATCGTTAGTAAACTCAAAGTTGAATGAGAAAATTAAACGAATCTATCTGTGACCCTATTGCTTGCTTAGAACAGTGATTGTGTATATCCTTTTAGAGTATAGATGGAGTGCTTGAAACGCCTTTCTGATAAACAGTTCCAGAGGTCAGCGTTGCTCAGCTCTACATATCAAGAAGTATAGTAATCGTTGGCTTGAAAATAATTATGACTATGTTCTAACATTTGATGGCGGCGGGTGGGAAAACTGACCACCATCTCATCCACATCGTTAAACAAAATTCACTCAGCAAATTTGCCTATCCATGCAACGATTTCCCCTGTTCGTCTAAATCAGACTTATAACATACTCAAGACACTTGACTACAAGTGTATCTGTTTCTGTGTATGTTTTAGATGTGAAAGTACAAAGGTTGTAATTCAAAGGTGTGTTATCCCCTCTATCCTTGACGAGTAGTATTGACCAAGGGTAGTGTCTCTCAACCGCTCCGACCCTCTTGACTTACACCTGTTTCTGGGAGAATTCATGACACCATCCTTCATAGGTGGAATATGATTTGAACCTATCAACTCAGAGTCCGTAAATTCATGCACCGCAGCTTGACAGTTGTAGTCATTTCGTTAAAGTACTATAAGTCTGCGAATTTTCCATAGATAGATAAATTAGAATATGTTACTAATCTGTGCGTCTGTGGCGCAGCGGTTAGGACGCTCGTCGGCGATGCACATGGTCTGGGGTTCGATCCCCGGCCGACGCACTCCTTTACCTAGCTAAGCCAGTAATAAAAGCTGGTAAGGAGGGAAGGTTGGGTATGAGGCTAGCAACCCCATCCTGTAAAAATAAACACTGCTACAGAAACTTCAAGCCTCTATTTTGAAGCCGTATGTTCCACTGGGAACCTAAAGGAATAATAAAATAATAATGTCACTATTCTATGTGTATATACATCTCATAATGTGACTAACCTAACTTACTATCTTCCGTGTCATATCCATGAGCGTTTAATCCTTCCTTCATTGTTCTTATTCCTCTACTGGATTCGTAAGGATGTAGCTTTTTGGTTATGACATTCACCTAGCAGCAAATGATTTCACGCTCCGTCTTTGGCTCTCTACATACTCGAAGATTGATTAGTGTTACCAAGCTTTACAACGTGTAGCACATTAGGTTGATGCATATAAAGAATCTGTTTGGGAAACTGAGTTCAAAAATCCCCTTCTTGTGTGTTTGACTAGTGCAAGTATAAGGATCCTAAGTTTCAAAACAACAGGTTGTCGATTTTCCTCTCTAACGAGCCTAAAATTACTTGACTTCCAGCTCATCAGATGATCAATTTACAGTTTCAAAGGCGAGATTTCATGATGATCATAATAATAGTCATTAAGTGCAATTAGACGTGTGCGTCGGTGGCGGTCAGGACGCTCGGCGACCATGCACATGGTTCGGGGTTTTATCCCTTGCCGACTCACACCTGATATCAATGTCGGCCTGCTAAATTTGGGCTACCAATATCATATGCTGAAAATTCCATACTTGTATCAAAAATACTGTATGGAGTCAAACTGTAATCAAAATAAAATATAAAAAAATAAAATAATGAACTGGATATGTTCGTTTCAGACCCAGTCAGCAATTGGCAGCACTTTATTTTATTTTTTTATTATTTTTATTATAGCTTGATGCCACACCATATTTTCAGTACAAGTACGGAATTCTCAGCATGGATGTCGGTAGCCCAAATTTTGCAGACCGACCATAGATATCGGGTGTGCGTCGGCAGGGGATCGAACCCCGGACCATGTGCATGGTTAGCGAGAGTCCTAACCACTGTGCCACCGAAGTATGCTGGTTCGACATTTTAATGGAGTAGTAGAGACATAAAGCTCAGGTGAATGACTGACTGGTTCCAGTGTAGAAATTTGCACAAATGTGCAACAGTTCCAGTTGCCACATTACCTCTATATAGTACACAAAGCAAGAGAAGAGAGTAAAGACAGATTCAAAGCAAAGATAATAAACAGAAGTTTTGGGAAAAGAATAGTAGTGTAGAAGAACAATAGAATTTTACTAGATATGGTAAATCACAAGGGGTGGATTCATCTAACTGCGCCAGTCATTGAGAACGATTTTGAGCTATATCATCGATTGTTTCCAGCCATTGGTTTTTACCGTCCCGAGGACACCAACCAGCCTGGAAGTCCACACCTTCCTACGTGGTTTAAACTAACTGTTGTTCACTTCATTGACTGGTGCCATGTTTTGGTCTGACCACCGCTGGCTAGCCCTTTTTCAGCCTGACCTTATGTCAGCTAACATTACCTGTCGACGAATGCGATGTGACTATGCATACGTAACACATGTCCTAACCATCTCAGTCGATGTAGCTTCACAGCCTCGTCGATTGATTTCCCCTCCCTCCTTACCTACCACTCGACAGATGCCTAACCTCATTATTGCCCACCCTATTATACCACTTCACACGGGAGATAGAACACAGACATATATGATCAAAGGTAGCCGACCTATTCGTATCTTCCACTTTCAGTGGCCATGTCTCAAAGCCATAAAGGAGGACAGGGCAGTACACACTACTTTTGGTCGATAACCAGCCAGATATCACGTCTACTAAGCCAGAGATGGAGTAATCTGGCATATGTGAAACGAGCCTTTTGTATCCGTGCAGAGATTTCGTCAGCCATCAACCCGCTGGGACTGGCTGATGCAACTTCCCAAATAAGTGAAGCGGTCAACGTGCTCTAACAATTCCCTCCATATCTCTAAGCTAGGAGTCAGTGTAATCGAGTCCTGTAACATCATCTTACACTTGGCGGGAGCAAATCGCATGCCAAACATTCGTAGATTACAGCTCAATGTGTTCAGGAAACTCTGCATTTTGTCAGCGTCTTCCCCTAGTTGAGAGGTCTATATCATCTGCATGTTCTAAATCAACGGGA